CGCTCCGCTGACGGGCAATTCGAGCCAATAAAAACCTTCATCTATCACCACTTCCACGACTACCTTGCCGGGGTTGCTATGTCGTCCCGACCTGGAGGCCTTGATGGATAAGCCTTGTGATGAATTGCTGGCATCCATCGGGAGTGCGCCACATATTGTCAAGGATGTTTGGGACGCGGGTTTCTTTCGTACTTTCAAGGGACCGACTGGCCAGTCTCTATTTATTGACAGAGGCGATGAAGGCCGATACGCTTTCACGCTCAACGTTGATTTCTTCAACGTTGAAGGCAATCGTCAGCGAAACGCATCAACATCCACCGGCATCATCTCATGTGCATGTTTGAACCTCCCCCTTGATATCCAGTACAAACACGAGAACATGTACTTAGCTGGCATCATTCCCGGGCCTTCAGAACCTTCGGGAGACGAATTAAATTTCTTTCTTAATCCCGTGGTTGATGATATGGTTGAAAGTTGGGAGCGAGGGATACGTTATTCCCGCACAGCTCTCAACGCTCGCGGTCGGGTGACACGCAGCGCCATAGCATGTCTAGTATGCGACCTCCTGGCGGCGAGAAAGGCCGCTCAGCTAGCGGGTCCAACGAGTCATTTTTATTGCACAGCCTGCCATTGCTGGCACAGGTCGACTTGTGGTCGAACAGATATCCAGTCTGAAGATTGGAGACTTCGGGACAAGGACGAAGTACGCCGCTATGCTGAGCTCTGGAAGAATGCCGGAACTTCGGCTCAGCGCAACAAGTTGTTCGCATTACACGGGGTGCGGTGGTCGACACTCTGGAGATTATCATACTGGGATCCCTCTCGTCAAATCGTCGTCGACGCTATGCATTGTCTGCTGGAGGGTCTTGCGCACGCTCATTTCCGTGAATTTTTAGGCCTCACAGCTGACTCCGCACATCGCAAGCCTGATATTATCCCTGCTTTTGATTATTCCTTCCTCGATGTTGACCTCAACAAACCTCAAGACTTCCAAGAAAAAGACGTCAGAGTTGTCAAATCAATCCAGAGCCTCCTTACTGAAGCGGTCCCCAACCTTGAGGGGAATGATACGCAGCTTATCGAGGATCACCTCGTACAGTTAGAGAGGAAATTGTTGAACAAGACGGTCCCATCCCTTCGGTTCGTGTTGGTGGGATTGGGCATCGCGCCAGACGCCCCACACCCTGGCAAAAAAGTCTTCAAACCCCATTGGGTTAGATTGCTCATCAGTTGGGTAAGTATTTTATTTTATTGGTGTTATTGTACCCTCTTAAGCCGCCGCTCTAGCGTCAAACCCAACCTTTCGCTCCTGGGCTGTCCAAATCGCGCATTGGTACCCCGGAAGTCATGCAACGTATTACTGATGTCATTAGGACGACAGATACGCCATCCTCCTTAAGATCAGTCCCCTATAACTTCGGGGAAACGAAAGCTGGGACTGTGAAGGCCGATGAATGGCGCACATTAACGACAGTATACTTACCCATAGCTCTGGTTAGCTTATGGGGTGAGGGATCTACTCATCGCACCCCGGAAATCGCAGCCAGTCGTCGTGCCATCCTTGATCATACGATGGCCCTCGTATCTGCCGTCCACATTGTATGTCAACGATCCATGACCACGGCTCGAGCAGAAGCATACCGTGGATACATTGTCGACTGGATGAGGGACTTGCAGGTATTACTTCCACATGCACCCAATCACACGAATGGTCATATGGCGTTGCATGTCTGGGACTACCTGCAGCTCTTCGGGCCCATAAGGTCATGGTGGTGCTTCCCATATGAGCGTCTCATCGGGCAGCTGCAGCGGTTGCCCAACAATCACATTTTCAGTACGATTTCAACTTTTGTGTCAATAATGATTCTCTTACGCTGGCTCACGCAGGTCAGCAAGAATCAACTCTCCTTCACTCATACATCAAGGCTGCAAAGCTCAAATACTGGCTGAACCGACCTTCTTGTCCTCCTGTGTTTAGGGAGGTGAAGTCTCTATTTGACAGACTTGTGTCTCCCTCAATCGACGCCAATCCTATTTCTGTGCCCACAGATCACTCACCTACACCGCAACAAGTTATTCCAGAGGACCTCCACCGACTCATCCAAGTTCGGCGGGCAGTCTTGCATGCTCGCACACTTCACGAGGGATCCATTTATACCCGTGACTCCACCCATGTGGGCAACAGCCTGGTCCTCTATTACCCTGGTGGTATCAAGAATGTGCAACCGACACCGGGAATCATCAAGTACATTTTCGAGATGAAGGGAGTAGTGGGCTTCGCCGTGCAACGTCACCTCCCTCAATACTCTCGCCCTGACCCTTTCCGCCACTATCCTCACTTCCCAGCTCGTTTATATTCCTCAGCGCTTGCGGACCATCTCGAAACTGTCATGCCTGACTGGGTAGTGTCGCATTTCGCACGATGGAACTTCTCTACACAGCACATTGTTGCCGTGTCTTTGTGTCAGGTGTGTTCCTCCCGCTGTTTCCACATGTTATAACGGTCTCACAATAAATGAATAGGACTGAACACAGCCATAGTATGCTTTTACGGTACCTAAAATTCCCTCACGATCATAGCCATATGTTGTTGTTTATTTGTACGTTCACTAGTAACCACGCCATTCTGCTGGAAATTTTGCGGATACTTCCGGACTGAGTTTCATTCTCTATATAAACCTCATCGAGTCATTTGTGTTTTTTTTTCTTCTTTCTCATCATTCTGCGTACATACATACACCTGTAAGCGCGGTCCGGCTTTTCGCCGTTACATAAACTATACCCATACATACATATTTTACTCTATATATCCATGATCCGGGACCCTGCCACATCTGATGGGACTGTAGATGTAGATGTAGTTGTAATACCAGTACACGTTGACGCGCAGAATTCGCAACCGGCTACCCCTAACACCGCTACCCCTATCAATCTCCAATGTGATAGTTCCTCAGATGACGAGACTGTCATCCCTCCTGCAGAGCCGATACTATCACAGCCTGCTCTCACTGATACTCCCATCAAACGCGATAGTTCCACCATATTACCCTTTACGACTCTTGCACGATGCCGAGTCTGTTACGATAACATACTTCGGACCGGACCCCCATATCTTTTCTCCTATCATGTATCACCATATGACGTCTTATCACCTTCTTGTACAGCATCCTTGATCGCCGTCTTATCTCGTATCTCTTATCTTGTACCCTGTACCCTTACCATTGCCTTGGTAGCCCTGCCCTGAACTGACCTTTCCTATAAGTAGTCGATCGTCTTGTCTTGTATTCTCTAACTTGAATCTACTCAGTTTTCTGATAGACTTTCCTTGAGCAAGACAGCTCTCGTATACGATTTCACTAAAGACTCTTCGTCTTAAGTGTCTTTACTTGATCGATACCATTAGTTTTGTCTTCGCTTGCTGACTCTTGTCACCAAGCATCGACCCCAACGATAACGATAACGAACCTCTGCATTATCTTCGTCTTACACTAAAGACTTAGTACAGAGCTCTTACCTGAGTCTACGCTTTCAGCGTAACAAAAGATTCAAGTTTTCCTTCGGCTCCTCATATCTTGAGGGCCAACTGTCAACACGTCTTCATCTCGGAGAGAAGATTCCGACGACGTTGTCCTGACCTCTGATAGCTCATCCGAAAGCTCCGACGACATCCCAGAACCCACCCCGAGACAGTTCTTTCCTCCTCCCCCCCCTCCATCAAGTGGGTTCGTTGTCCCACCCAGGACACCTGTTGGACCTCCACCAGTTCCTCCCCCGAACCCATTCAGACCACCGGTCCCACCACCAGTAGGACCATTGACCATGTCGAAAGTCCCAGAACTCAAGATCGGTTCTCCTAAAGATTTCAATGGTGATACCTCCCAAGCAACAAGATGGTTGTTTAGCATTAAGGCTTATCATTTTGCCAACTCCGATACCTACACCGATGACAAGAAGAAGATCATCACTGCCCTCGCCTATATGACTGAAGGAACTGCCGCACTTTGGGCAGAAACATTCTACACCAATGCGTATAGCGGAGCAACCCCATCCTTTGGATCATGGGCAGACTTTGAAAAGAGTTTCAACACCGCGTTCCAATCCATTGATACTCAAACCGACGCCTTGAACAAACTAGAAAGACTCCGGCAAACTGGAGAAATTGCTGAATATATTGCCGAGTTCAAACTCCTTTCTGCGTTATCAGGAATGAAAGAAGGAATCGGGCTCAAATACTTCTTCAGGAGAGGATTGAAAGATGGATTGAGGAAGGCCATTCATGGACTCTCCGAGGTTCCCGACACCATAGACAAATGGTTCGCTGCAGCAACCCAGCAGAGCGCCAACTGGCAGATGGAACAAGCGTTCCGAAACTGCAAACAGGAACAATAATCAATCTAGGAAAGGATCTGGGAATCACTCTGGTCAAGGACGAGCCAATTCTAAACCTAGCTTTCACCATCAACGCGACCCTGATGCAATGGATGTGGATAGGACCTTGTCCCCCCAACAACGTGATGACCATTTCAAGAAAGGTCTTTGTTTCAATTGCTCGAAACAAGGTCATCGTTCAAGGGATTGTCCCTGACAAGAAAACCAAGACTAGAGCCGCAGGAGCGTCATGAAGGAAAAGGGAAAGGAAAGGGAAGGGCTAAAACCCCTGATGATGAAACTGATGATGAAGAAGATATGGATACCAATCGAGTGGATTTTTAAACAGAGGATCTGTATCAACGTCAGACTCCTCCCTTTACGTGCTGTATACTAAGACTGTAGGACGAAGCAATGAATTCCGTGTCCCGGTGACACTCTTCTCTACAAAAAGCACGAAAACCGTTGAAACCACCGCTATCATTGATTCTGGAGCAGGAGGCTCTTTTATTGATAAAGACTTCGTCAAGAAACACAAAATTAACTTCCACAAACTCCGAAAACCCTTCCATATCACCACTGTGGATGGAAGCAACTCGAAAGCGGGAATGGTCTCCCATTATTGCGTTCTACCCATCAGACTTGACAAAAGATGCATGTGGGGAAAATTCAATATTACCCAGCTCTCTGCTCGAGACAATGTCCTCCTTGGGAAGCCTTGGCTCTCCGCCATGAATCCAGACATCGACTGGACTAAAAACACGATATCCCTTCCTTCATCACCCCGATCTAAACTCGTTGAGACCGAGATCAATCTTGAAAGAAGAAGAAACCATGTAGAACCCTTCCTATTCGAAGCCAAGAAAGTGACTATCGAAGAAGAAGAAATCGATTCTTTTCATCCTCTCAAAACGCTCTCCAATGAGAAGGAACATTGTATTGAAGAAATCAAGAAGAAGAAAAGAAATCCAAGAAACCTGAAGAAACTACCTCCCGAACTCCCTAATTTCAATGCTATGGAAGATGTATGGGTTGGAAACACCCAATTCCTCCCACATCCGGATGATATCGCCACCTATCCTCTATCCGATGATGAAGTACTAATCGAATATGCTACGGATGGGACCAATGTTCGAATAATCGAGAACATCTCCTTCGACTCTCCCTTAACCCGTGATGGGACTTCCAAGAAAGAAATCCTTGCCAAACAAACTCCACTTAGGAACATTTGGATACTTGCTGCTTCGCAAGAATACACCAAAACAAGCAACAAAGCACAGGAGTTTGCTATGGAAGACGCCCAAGCAAAGAAGAAGAAAACGTTCGAAGAACTTGTTCCCGAATATCTCCATGACTTTGCAGATATTTTCGCAAAAGATGGCTTGAACAAACTTCCTCCCTCTCGCCCTGGATTCGATCATAGAATTGACACCAAAGAAGGCTTCGTTCCGAAATCATCGAGGGCTTACCCTCTATCCCCGAAAGAAACCGATGCTTTGAAAGCATTTCTGGACGAACACGTAGCAAAGGATTTTATCACCCCGTCAAAATCTCCACAAGCATCTGGCTTCTTCTTCGTTGGAAAGAAGGACGGATCGTTAAGACCCTGTCAAGATTACAGGTACATTAACGAATGGACCGTAAGAATGCCTATCCTCTCCCTCTAATTCCTCCTCTTATCGCAAAGCTGAGCGATGCCAAATTCTTCACCAAGATAGATGTTCGTTCTGGCTACAACAATATCCTCATACACCCTGATGATAGATGGAAAGCCGCATTCTCCACTTCCTTCGGCCTCTTTGAACCGAAAGTCATGTTTTTCGGACTATGCAATTCTCCTGCAACCTTCCAGGCATACATGAACCAAACCTTCGCGACCGAAATCAATGAAGGATGGCTCATCGTTATATGGATGACATCCCTTATTTTCTCGTATACCTTGGAAGAACAAAAAGAACGAACTAGACGGGTCCTGGAGAAACTTAGAAAAGAGTCACTCTTCCTCAAACCAGAGAAATGTACTTTCGATGCGCAAGAAGTTGAATATCTCGGCATGATTATCCGACCTGGGCAAGTTGCAATGGACCCAGCGAAACTGAAAGGAATCAGCGACTGGACTTCCCCCTCCTCAGTCAAAGAAGTCCGATCATTCCTTGGATTTTGCAACTTCTACCGACACTTCATTTCCCATTACTCTGATATTGCTCGCCCGCTGATTGACCTCACAAAGAAGGACAACGTCTTCTCTTGGTCAAGCATTTGTGAAGAAGCTTTCCAGAAGCTGAAGCACTGCTTCCTCTCTGAACCCGTCCTCCGAAATCCCAATCCTACTCGACAATTCGCCCTCGCAACTGATGCATCATTGTTTGCTACTGGAGCAGTACTCCTTCAAACAGACGAGAATGGAGCGTATCACCCTTGCGGGTATCTTTCCCAATCCCTGAACCCAGCCGAACGAAATTACCAGATCTATGATAGAGAACTCCTTGCTGTTATCCGCGCCCTGCAAGCTTGGAGACACTTTCTCGAAGGAAATCCTCATCCGGTTATCATCTTCACCGATCATAAGAACCTTCTATATTTCAGATCTGCACAGAAACTCACTAGAAGGCAAGCTCGTTGGCAGCTCACGCTATGCAACTATGATATCACCTTCCATCACGTTCCTGGGTCCAAACTCGCCGCTCCAGACGCCCTTTCCCGACGATCTGATCATGCTTTTTCAGGATCTGATAACGAAGATCTTATCCTCCTTCCTGATTCATTGTTTGTCAACCTCATTGATGCTGAACTTGCAGAAGATTTCAAGCTCCTTCATGACGCATCTGACGATGCTACCATTTGCACCGCATTAGACGCCTTAAACGGTGTATGCGCTCCTCCTATGAAATCTGCACTTTCTGATTGGAAATTCGAGGATGACGTTCTTTTCTACAAGAATTGTGCTTATGTTCCCTCTGATCTCCGCCATCGTATCCTTACTCTCCATCATGATCATCCTACGGCCGGTCATCCAGGCCGCACTATCACGGAATGGAACGTGAAGAAAGCCTATTGGTGGCCCGGGATGGGAACATATATTAGGAAATACGTTGACGGATGTGCAACTTGTCAGCAAATGAAGCCGAATACGCATCCTACTACCCCTCCCTTATTACCGATCTCCTCCACCGCCTCTCGCCCCTTTTCACAGGTCTCCGTTGATCTTATCACCGACCTTCCCCCGTCCCTTGACTTTGATTCTATCATGGTCGTGGTAGACCATGGCCTTACGAAGGGGGTAATTCTCTGCCCTTGCAGAAAAACGATCACCGCAGAAGGAGTAGCCCAACTTTTCTTTGAAAAGGTCTTCCTTAGATTCGGCCTCTACGACAAGATTATCTCCGATAGTGGACCACAGTTTGCCTCTAAACTCGCAAAAGAACTTGGAAGGCTCCTAAACTATCAAGTCGCCCTTTCTACCGCCTATCACCCTCAGACTGATGGACAAACTGAACGAATGAATCAAGAACTAGAAACCTATCTCCGAATATATTGTCGAACGAACCCTAATGATTGGGCAAATCACCTTCCCATGGCAGAATTTGTCCACAACTCCAGAAAAGGCAGCACCAGAAACGCCTCTCCATTCTCCCTTATGATGGGATACGAACCTCGCGGATACCCTCACGCCTTCCCTGACTCCACTCTTCCAGCCGCAGAAGACCGCATCAAACACCTTCAGAAGATCAGAGAAGAAGCCCTAGCTTCTCACTAGCCTTGCTCAACAATGAATGGCAGAAAGATCTCATGGACAGAAGTACTGAACCATGGAAACGTGGTGATAAAGTTTGGCTTTCCACAGAACACCTCATCACACGACTCCCCTCAAAGAAGTTAGCTCCCAAACGATACGGCCCTTTCGAAATCACAGAAGTTCTATCACCTATCACGTTCAAATTGAAGCTACCGAAAACCTGGAGAGTTCACTCCACATTCCATGCTTCTGAACTATCCTCCTATCAAGAGACAGAGATACACGGCCCGAACTTCACCCAACCACCTCCTGACCTTATCAACGGAGAAGAACATTACGAAATCGAAGCCATACTCTCGCACAAAGGGGCAGGCACGAGACATCGTTATCTCGTATCTTGGGTTGGATACCCTGAATCTGAGAACTCATGGATCCTTGAAACGGAACTTGAAAATGCAGCGGAGCTTCTAAACGCCTATAAAAAGAGACTCAAGCTCGTCTCTAGAGCATTAGGCCTCTAAACCTACCTTAACTCGAAACCAACATGTCTGACCGCTCCAGCTGCTCTTATGGTTCCGACCACAGTATCACCAACTTCTTTGAAAACAACCCCTTTACTCGTCCCCAGACCCCTGGCCAGCATCGGGCCATGTGGGAAGCCATTATTCTCGACATCCAGTATGCTATGAGGCTTGACGCCTATGTAGAGAGGGTCGGCAATGCCACCCTCAAAGAACTCATCATCATTTTCCGGGCAGCAGACGCCATCACTCCCGCAGCAATGCAGTTCCAACTCGACTCCTCCACCAGTCTTGGTGCGATCCCCATCAGATACAACCAAAGCAAGATCAAGAATGCAGTCTTGAATGCTATCCGACTCACCGTTGATTTCGATGACGCAATCAGGAGGATAGAGGATGAAAATGAGTTTAATCCACCTCCCGAGCCATTCATCGCAGCAATGAGGCATACGACTCCGACCCCTCCCCTAGTCATCGAAGAAGATGAAGAAGTAGTAGAGCGTAGCAGCTCACTCTATGTGCCATACACACCCCCTCCTGTAGCCCAGCCACCGCAGGACTATTATTCGTTCCTCGGTCTATCTCCTCCCAATACACCTCCCCCCAAAGTTGAAGAAGAAGAGCAGCAACTTCCCATTGATATTTCCCCGTCCCAGTCAAGGACGCTCTCCCCTGAACTTTTGCATTACTCTCCATTGCAAAACGCTGCCCCTATCCCTGTCCCACCCCCTACTACACCCGTCGATCTTGACGATAGGATGGACGTTCTCCGCAGAGCGCAAAGGCTTACTCGGATGAAGCCTAGATTGCTTTTCTCTATGGGGCTTCCCTTAAGCCAACATCATTACAAACATTACAACTTCGAATCTGCACCAGGATGCACCACCGCCGCACAATACTCCATCGAGAGAGCACAGTATGAAGCTGGAGAAACGACTCAAACCTATCCCTTCATCTGCGTCTGTCGTACGTGCAACAATTGGGGGCATAAGCAAAAGCACTGCAAGAGGTACCAGTGCCGCATTTGTGGCAAATACGCTCCCAAGCACCTTACCCCATTCTGTCCCCTCCTCAAAGGCAAGAAGCTCCTTCGTCATGGAAAATCTGCTGATAGGTTCCATGGAGAAATGACTAAGCTCGAAGCGGCCTTTGACCATGAGCGTGCTCGCGTTGCGGAAGAACGGGAAGAGAATGAACTCGACGCCATCGCCATGTTGGCAGATATTGACGTTGACCCCATCTACTATTCCAACCAGGATGATTGAAGTCGGTGACTTCAAACCTTTGAACGGGAGGTAATGTTACGATAACATACTTCGGACCGGCCCCCCCCTATCTTTTTCTCCTATCATGTACTACCATATGACGCCTTATCACCTTCTTGTACAGCATCCTTGATCACCATCTTATCTCGTATCTCTTATCTTGTACCCTGTACCCTTACCATTGCCTTGGTAGTCCTGCCCTGAACTGACCTTTACCTATAAGTAGTCGTTCGTCTTGCCTTGTATTCTTTAACTTGAATCTACTCAGTATTCTGATAGACCTTCCTTGAGCAAGACAGCTCTCGTATACAATTTCACTCAAGACTCTTCGTCTTAGTGCCTTTACTTGATCAATACCATCAGTCTTGTCTTCGCTTGCCGACTCTTGTCACCAAGCTTTGACCCAAACGATAAACGATGAACGAACCTCTGCATTATCTTCGTCTCACGTTGAGACTTAGTACAGAGCTCTTACCTGAGTCTACGCTTTCAGCGTAACAACAACTAAACAATACGAAACTTAGCTTATGATAGTGAGAGGTATATTCTTGTACACTTTCCTATTCATCTCCATTTATGTATGTCATGGTATGAAGCATATACCATGCATGACATCCACCGGGCATGAGAACTTATGAACAGTATGTTCTATTGAGATTGTGCTGTGAGCGTACTGTCTGTGCTCATCGGAATGTGTACTATTGCTAGTCATCATAAAGATACTCTTGTATTCCCAACACGAGGGGAATTTGTTGTCATGGTCTGAGTGTCAAGATACCCCTATTGAAAAGATAATGGTGGGTGGGGTTTATATGTAAACATAATTGGGTTTGATATGTTCACACGGTTGCTGAGGTAGCAATTAAGTGCTAAGCTATTAACCAAATAGACTTGTAATTAGATTGCTCTGATAATGTTGGATAGAACTAGAACTATGTCCTTTGAAAATATGTCAAGTCTCCTACAGCCTGAAGCTATGGACTTGTCTTGTAATAAATGTTGAATTTTTTCGATATTGATATTTGCTTAAATCTGTGTCTAAACACTAGACACAAATAAGCACAATGTGTTTGCTTCGAGTGACTTAGAAAAAAATCAGACAAGTTTTACAGACAACAAAAGATTCGAATTACATGACCAGGTAACTCGTATCTAAAGCTATCTCTCTTGACCTATTTTTGTATTTATCTCGTAACGTGACATAGCAAAGTTCAACAATGAGTCGAGTGAAGCACAAAGGCAAAATCAAAACTCGAAGACCAATAAAGCTATAAGTACAAAAGACAGAACAAGCCAGAGCTGAAGGTCCGTGTTTTTGTGAGTTAAATGAACATATACAATTTTTTCGGGGTTAGGATAAATGTGGATGAAGACGTGAAAAAAATGGTGTCGAAAAAAAAGCGAAAATGTAAATGGGGTTGATTACTGGAAAAATAAATGAGAGCTGAAAGGAAAGAACAAAACACGGATCAGTTTACCTTTAGATACTTAAAGGAAGAACTTCCGGTCCTTTCGTTTCGTGGCTCTGTCTTTATGAAGGTGTGGTCTCTGTTCTTTGTCAATTCCACGGAGGACATAGAACAAAGAAGGTGTCGAGGGTGGTCTGGAGGAGATGGTGGATAGAAAGGGAGATGTAGCGAGAATAACAAGTCCTGAGCGTTGAACACCGAGGATGTGATCACGTTCACGTGCAAATTGGATTGCATCAAGACGAGAGCCAGAGTCAAGAAGACCTGACGTGACGAGTGCCGAAACAGTATCTTCGTCTGGGAATAGCATGAGAAGTGAGTCGGAAAGTGCTGAAGCAAAAGCATCCTTGCTATGAAAACGAGTGACCGAAATATACGAATGGAGTTTCTGAGCCTCGGATGGGGTGAAAAACGGATTAATGTCAATGTAAGGGCTCGAGAAAAACGAGTCGGGAGTACAGCCCTTGATATGATCTGATTGGTCACACTTGAGTATAGTGGACTGACGAGAGGCTTCCTCGTGCATGCGAGGTGATAAAACGGTGTCGACGAGTTGTAGGATATGTCGAGTGTGAGCACAGTGATCAAAAAGCTCTTCGACTCGGTCAGACCAATCACGTCCTGAGCGTGGGCCTCCCGTCGGTAGTTTTGGGTCGTTCGGAATGACAGGATGTCCTGGGTAAGAGTCATCGTGGAATAACTCAACATCCCAGTCATTAGCAATGAGTTGGTCTTCGCAAAAATTGAACGAGGCGACAGCATCAGTGACGTGTGGGAAGTAAAACGAATGATAATCACTCAAACGAGCGATTTCGGTTTCGAGATATTGATGTGCATGGAGTGGCGAAATTCCTTCAAGCAAAGCAGCAGGTGCTGCAAGGGAAGGAGAAAGCAAAGGTGTATTGGAAAACGTGGGTTTCGAATTGATAAGTGCAGGTACGTCATCGTCACTAGAAATAGTATTTACAGGGGTAATGGGAGTAGTATATGGAGGTGGAGTGACGTCGTCGAGTATAGGACGAGTGAGTAAAACATGTGCCGGCGTGGAGTTTGAGTGATCTGTGGCATGCGGAGGCAAAGAAATAGTTGTCGAGCTTTCAAAGTTAGTGTTTGTAGCGAGTGGGGACGAATCCGGCAGTGAAGAGGGCTTTACCTCTTCCTGGGACTCGAAAACAGTGGTGTGTGCACTATCAAAGAGTGCTGAGGGATGAACATGTCCATCTTTAATCAAAATATCATTTAATACATTATTAAATGAGTGAAACGACGATGAACGCTCACCCAAGGTACCTGCGCAAAAATTCCCGCGCTCGTCGTTGTCGTTGTTGTTGTCGTCGTCAGGACACGTTTCGTTCCCACGCTCAAAAACAGCGCCAGAGTTGGCAACAGAAACAAGAGATGGTCCTGGCACAGTGATGGTGTCCTGTCCAGCAAGACTTTCCTGCTGGAGAGGAGAATATGGAGAACGAGGGGAATAGCCAGAGTAGCTTGGTGACGAAGTGTTGGATAAAGTGAACATTGGTACAAATGAAAATGTTAATGTGTCGTTCTCGAGAGAAGTTGAGAATCGGAAATTTCCGGAGTGTGAGAAAAAATCCAAAACATCGGTGCGTGTGTCTGTGAGTGGTGTGGGCATGTTCGGAAGTAGTAACAAATAAGGGAATTGGTGAACAGTTGGTTGGTTTTTTCTCGCGTTGTTGTACAGTGTGTTGCAAATGACTTTAGAATGCACGAGAATTTTTTTGCGAGCTCGGTGTTTGTATAATGCTTTGTAATCGTCAAACGCGTGACTTTCGGTCACATCAACAATTCACAAAGTCTCCTCCACCCCAGGCAACTTCAAGGCACTGGCACTGTCGATACTAGGCCTTGTGAACAACGAGTTGGTGCAACTTGCTGCGCTCAATGAGTAGTATCGATTCTGACCAGGTAATGTCATGAACATTGAATGTTCCTAGCTCACTCAATCATTGGAACGATTTTGACCGTTCCAAGGCAATATCGCAACCCTGGCTCAGCAGTCGGGTAAGTGCAGCGCATGGGCTGGTCTGTGCGTATCCTTGGCTGCTATCAAAGCCTACAAAAGGTGAAGATTTGCTTTGGTATGATCATCTCACCTTTGCCTCTATGTCGAACACCAACATCCCACTTCCTTCCATGCACCAGCTGCTTGAAATGTTCCCCGGACCTTCTAGTCATCCCCGCCGAGACGAATTCACGATCTCTCCACGTCGTCCTTCTGCAGGTTGGTTGCAAAGAGGTGGTTGGATTGGTATGTTTCCTTCCCCGTTCATCGAGAATGTTAATTGATATTTTTAAGATGGTGGCATTGACCCGCCTCACAGATACTTTTCCAATGAAAAAATGACGGCCACCCGTAAATTCTGGACCGGAGTCCCCGAGTTCCCGCCTCTGCCTGTTCCTGTCCAAGCGGATATCCCGATGTTTGTTCCCCTGCCAATCGAACAGATCAGTCCTGCTGCGGAAGTACCTGCTGAGGTCAATGGTAAGTATGAACAGTAATTGCGAGTGACAAAGCTGATTGCCGTGCACAATGCAGTGCCCATACCTCCGGCAGTTGTCGAAGGTCACAATGTTTCTGTTCAGATGATTTATTCTGCTCAAGTGACTGGTCCAGTCAGCCGAGGGTCCAAGCTGATCACGAAGAAGGCTAAGTTGATTTCTTCTGACACTATCGTGCTGGAAGACATATCTCGCGCTGTGTTTGTCAAACGGTTCCTAGCCATTCACGAGCTCGAGGACAAGTTTGCAGTGGGGGCTATTTCCGGGCCTCCGTTCAAGATGTATTGGACAGGATCTGTGTACGAGCTTTTAATTTTATCAATTTTATCTCTTGATAATTGTCCTACAGTGGTGGTAAAGCTGGTGCCACTACTATTAATAATGACCGCCAATTTTCCGTTGCTTTGGCAGCCCTCTTGAAGAAAAACAAATGTGTTTGCCAAGTGGGAGTCGAGTTTGATGTTGACAAGATGGATGGCTTCCGCATTCGCACCCGCGTGAGTTGTACTTTCTGTCGACAAACCTCACAGCTGACGACACCAGCCTATTCTTGCATTAGATAATTCTCAAGACGGTGAAGACGAGCTTGAGTCTGGCACACAGGTATAGTTGATCACGAAGATATTACCCTTTTTGCTAATGTTGCCTAGGTCCCACACATCGAAGCCTTCTCTGATCAGACACAGCTCCACGGAGCCATCATTATCCAGCTCAAAGCAAAGTGGGCATGTGCGGAACACCAGGGTGAGAGTGGAGGGATTGGTTATTGTTATGTATCCGCAACCGGGGGAACATGTTGGCCTCAACAGCCATCGTTTGAAAATATGGGCCTCTGCTGTGGTGGGTACTAGTTATATTTCACGTGTCTCGTGTTTTCTTACCTATACATAGGCTGCATATGATGCAACGAAAAATGAACCACCGAACACAGTTGATTTTGACGGAGTTCGTGATGGGCGGCTTCGTACATCTAAACCCCGTGGCCGAAATACTTCTCGTACAGAGGGTAATGCAGCAAGCGAGGCAGCCTCTCTTATTATGGCTATCATGCCTCTCATCACAGGCATCTCACAGAAGCGTCTGCGCTCCCCGTCTCTCGCTCGATCAACATGCCATGCTTCCATACCACTTTCCCCACTCCCTGCATCTGGATCTGAGCTCAATGCTTGTTTGCGTGACTCTGCCGAAGCCACAGACATTGATCTTGCTAGCTGCGAAGACTCGTTGGTGGTCATGGAGTTCACCCCAGACATAATTCCCGATATCCCAGTTGCTCGTCTTTGTGAGATTACAGGTGTTGTAGATGGTCGTCTCCGGAAGTTGCAGATGTTCTGCAAAGACTGGAATAGCTGTCTCTGTACAAAGAAGGCACACGCAAAGAGGCAGAGGACCGAGTAATTTCAATATCTCCTACTTTGCTAATCACATCTCTTAATCCCTTCATTTTTACACCTATTCCATTCCTAATATTCCGAACGAGTACCCCGAATTTTCGATCCATCCATCTGCATCTTCAATTGTGATTGACATCATAGCCTGTTGAATCAACCAAGGACGAGTCTCTGGCTGTAGAGCCTTTGCTTCGTGCCTTCGCAGCCAAGCTTTCATGGAGTGAAAAGCTTGTTCGATCGGGTTGAAGTCAGGCGAGTAGGGGGGTAGGTAAATTAATTTTGCACCTGTTTGGTGAGCTCAGTTTTCATAGCCAACTGTACTCGCACACGCACATACCACATTCCCCTTCGACAATTGCACGAACTTCTGCATCATGATGAATGGCACAGTTGTCCATCACCACTACACTACGAAGGCCAGGATATGGTGAAAGCTTTGGCGCCTGTATGACAAATGATTAAATACTGACATTAGCTATCATTGGGCATGGTACACACCAGATCGTCATTGAGGAATTTCATAAACCGTTCCTTGTTCACTGAGCCCTCGAAGATGTTGAGGGCAATGATGCCTTCACAAGAGAATGCAGGCAACACCGAGAAACGTTGGCCTCGAATGAAAGTTGCTCGACGAACACAAGCACGACCAAGGGGAGCCCAGCCCTCTGTACGCTGATTCGTTTTGTCGTCCACGCTCAACTCATCCAACCAAACAAAGTATTCGGCAGGTATATCTCCATACTGTGCTTGCCATGTTGCCCTCAATAATTCGTTCCTTTCGCTAGCTTGTTTTGCCTGCTTCTTGTGAGTCAATGCCATGCCTCATAGTGCTCGAGAGATTGTGGCTATGGACACATCAACATCTCGATAGGACTGCAGCTTCTCCTGCAGCTCATCAAGGTATAGAGCTGGGTTGGCCTGAAGAATTGAGCGCAAGTAGTCAAGATCAGCGGTGCTCAGAGTGCGTGGACGGCCCCTTTCCCGCGCAAATGGGTTGGTGTGTTGACCATACTCGCGGTGATTGCGCAAGACATTGTAGACAGTTGCTTCACAACATTTAGCTAGTCTTGATATTTCCGACACAGTCTTCCGTTGTTCGTAGCGCCAGATAAGCATATTCTGGCGCATTTCAGAAGTGACCAGAGGTGCCATTGCGAGGCTATTGCAACTCATAGCCAGCTCCCAGCGGCGTGAAAATTGACCAAGTGTGACAGAAGTCACACGTCAAAACAAAGGAACAAACAAAGACGGCAAATTTTTGAAAACGAGATTCTAAAGTCATTTGCAACACACTGTAAATAGGCACGAGGCTCGGAACAAGTGCCTGTAAAATGAAATCTGGTGGCTTTTTTTATAGATTTTGGAACATATTCCATTTCACATATGTCTGAGTAAGTCGTTACTTCATTGACACTTTGGTCACCCCATTATAGACACCTCTTAGGTTGATTGTGACCTATAGAGGTTTGTACCTAAGAGGTATGTTTCTGATGGTCTCTCCAATGTTCCATGGTCCTTCCCTATTACTTTTGTGGACCAAAGGAGTATGTATGGTACACAGACCAAAGGTGATTGGGAACATGTCATGGAAAGTACCATAGGGTACTTTGGACCATATACCTTATGGATTTTCCCAAATATATATGAGTGTCTGGGGTCCACAAACCACCTAATTTTTAATATTTTGCGGTAGTTTTCTGTTGATTCTGATGGTGAATAGCCTTAAACTACAATGAACCTTTGTATTATATCTAACATATAATGGCTAAATGTGTGGCTGCAATCGTGTCCTGCTCAATTTGGTCTCTCCTGTGCTATTCACAGGCATGTCAGGTTGACAGAGAGCCCCAAGGGGATCAGGAACGGCTTGATGTAGTTGTGAGGGTGCGGGTATGAGTGTGGAGTACCTGTTACCCAGCATCTCTCTTGCATGGTACTAGATTACTTGACAATTCCAGGTGAGTTTTTTTTTTTCATTCTGATGTGATAGTTCAATGTTTTCAATATGGCTTTGCAGCAATGTCTGTTGATGTTGAGCATATTGTCTCTCATGGACGGCTCATTCTTTCTCATGTGCATTCAAGACTTTCGGCACAAACAACATGATGTCTTCTTTGCCTTGGACATTGGAGTTTTCAAGGATGTTACGCTGTGACATGTAAGCCTGACCTCAAAGGAGAAGAGCGGGAGTGGGATGAGGGATGGGATGATATTAATGTGTTATTTATGCATGTCTAGTAGCTCAATTTGTACATATACCTGTGGGTTTACCCCTCACAGGTACCGTTCCTGCTGTACCTGCTTAAACCGGTGTGAAGACCCATACCCGCTAGAAACCTTGGCTCAGTGATCATATAGGGAAGACCACAAAGGGAAATAAGGAGCGACCACACAAGTTCATGGGACAGACCATATGATATTTAAGGTCGACCATGATGACATTATAGACTAACTAGGGCGAACTACAGAGGCATTATAGCCTAAGTAGGGCGGACCATATATTATATAGAGTGGACCACAGTGCCATTATAAACTAATTAAGGAGGACCATATGTCATGTAGGGCAGACTGCAAAGTCATTATAGCCTCAGTAGGGTGGATCATACACCATATTGGGCGGACCACCACACCATTATAGGGAGGACCATATGTGATGTAGGGCAGACCGCAAAGACATTATAGCCTAAGTAGGGCGGACCATATGTCATGTAGGGCAGACCACAATGATATTAGAGACTGACTAGGGCGGACCACAAAGACATTATAGCCTAAGTAGGGCGGACCATATGTCATGTAGGGTGGACCACAGTGACATTATAGAGTGACTAGGGCAGACCGCAAAGACATTACAGCCTAAGCAGGGCAGACCATATGTCATGTAGGGCGGACCACAACAATATTATAGCCTAAGTAGGGTGGACCATACACCATATAGGGCGGACCGCAGTGACATTATAGACTGACTAGGGCGGACCACAATGATATTATAGCCTAAATAGGGCAGACCACAAAGACATTATAGCCTAAGCAGGGCGGACCATAAGTCATGTAGGGCGGACCACAGTGACATTATAGAGTGACTAGGGCAGACCGCAAAGACATTACAGCCTAAGCAGGGCAGACCATATGTCATGTAGGGTGGACCACAACAATATTATAGCCTAAGTAGGGTGGACCATACACCATATAGGGCGGACCGCAGTGACATTATAGACTGACTAGGGCGGACCACAATGATATTATAGCCTAAGTAGGGCAGACCACAAAGACATTATAGCCTAAGCAGGGCGGACCATAAGTCATGTAGGGCAGGCCACAGTGACAATATAGACCATATAGGGTGGACCATAGTGATATTATAGACTGAGTAGGGCAGACCACAAAGACAGTATAGCCTAAGTAGGGCGGACCATACACCATATAGGGCGGACCGCAGTGATATTATAGACTGACTAGTGCAGACCACAAAGACATTATAGCCTAAGTAGGGCGGACTATATGTGATGTAGGGTGGACCCACACACAATTATAGACTACCTATGGAGGACCATATGTGATGTAGGGCAGACCACAATGGACCAGGGGGTGCCCTAGCAAACAGATGGGTGATGAACTGGATGCTCTAGCAAATAGATGGGTGATGAACCAGGTGCTCTAGGAAATAGATGGGTGATGAACCGGGCACTCTAGGAAATAGATGGGTGATAAACCGGGTGCTCTAGCAAACAGATGGGTGATGAACCGGGCGCTCTAGCAAACAGATGGGTGATGAACCGGGTGCTCTAGCAAATAGATGGTGATAAACCGGGGAGGACGGGGGTGCCCTAGCAAATAGATGGGTGATGAACCGGGTGCTCTACAAAATAGATGGGTGATAAACCGGGTGCTCTAGCAAACAGATGGGTGATGAACCGGGTGCTCTAGCAAACAGATGGGTGATGAACCGGGTGCTCTAGCAAATAGATGGTGATAAACCGGGGAGGACGGGGGTGCCCTAGCAAATAGATGGGTGATGAACCGGGTGCTCTACAAAATAGATGGGTGATAAACCGGGTGCTCTAGCAAACAGATGGGTGATGAACCGGGTGCTCTAGCAAACAGATGGGTGATGAACCGGGTGCTCTAGCAAATAGATGGTGATAAACCGGGGAGGACGGGGGTGCCCTAGCAAATAGAACGGTGATGAACCGGGCGCTCTACAAAACAGATGGGTGATAAACCCGGTGCTCTAGCAAACAGATGGGTGATGAACCGGGCGCTCTAGCAAATAGATGGTGATAAACCGGGGAGGACGGGGGTGCCCTAGCAAATAGATGGGTGATGAACCGGGTGCTCTACAAAATAGATGGGTGATAAACCGGGCGCTCTAGCAAACAGATGGGTGATGAACCGGGTGCTCTAGCAAACAGATGGGTGATGAACCGGGCGCTCTAGCAAATAGATGGTGATAAACTGGGGAGGACGGGGGTGCTCTAGCAAACAGATGGGTGATGAACCGGGCGCTCTAGCAAACAGATGGGTGATGAACCGAGCGCTCTAGCAAACAGATGGGTGATGAACCGAGCGCTCTAGCAAACAGATGGGTGATGAACCGGGCGCTCTAGCAAACAGATGGGTGATGAACCGGGCGCTCTAGCAAATAGATGGGTGATGAACTGGGCTGTCATATCCCGCTTTCAAGCATGGTCTTAACATGGGCACTCTACAAAATAGATACTGGGTGCACAACTGTTGTTCTTCCCGTCCCTCATTGCAAAAGAGCACTGGCAGGTGGGGCGGGAGCATGATAAAGAGAATGAACCAGCATCTGGTTCATGCGCACGAGAATGTCCTGTTCCTTGAGTCAGCCATATCCCTACCTTCGAAATGACCTCATATTGCTGTTGTCATTCATGCACAACGTCTATGATTAATAGAGCCTACTTTACAATGATTTGATGAAGTGAGAATATATTGTTGGAGATGGCACTACAATGCACTTTACATTAGTGTGGCAGCATGTGTAGAATCTGTACCTAAACCCATTGAGAATTCATATAAAGACTTGCAAATTTGAAAGGTCACACTTCGAACATCTAGAAACCAAGTTGTTCTGTACTTTTGTAATCCAATATTGTCATGTGACATGTGTGGTTCAAGTGCGGGCATGCGGGCACCACTGGACAGCTACACATTAGAGAAAAAGAACACCCGTACCCATGCAGTTTCCTAGCTAAACATTGTCAACATTTTAGGCCTCGACGGCAGGAAAATCATAGTAATATTTGATCAATGTCTATCACTTGTCTAATCATAGTATGCATGTGACAGTAAAAAAAAAACATAAAGCATAAGTGATGAAGGGGCATACGCATATGTATGAAGGGCATAACATGATGAACGACTGGTCAGAACACGAATGAGCGAGGTTAAAACATAGCACGATAAGTCACAACCCAGCAAGGATCAAAACCAAAACATGCGAGAATGATGTACATGCTATAAAGATCAGTAGGAGTCAAATTCATACTCAGCTTCGACAGGAACTCGACGGCCGTGCTGGCGTGAAGGCGAGCGATCAGCATAGGGTACCACTGACGAACGAGATGCTAAGCGCGCAGTGTTGTTATTTGTGACGGCTCCTGAATGTGCCATTGATGGAGCACCAGCAATTGGCTTACGCCTAAGTGAATGGGGATCCATTAGCACCGAAAAATGACAATAGAATTGCAACGTACTGATGACCACGAGTGGACCTTTGATCCACGCTTGTCCTGTCCTGCGATTATGAAAGGTATGTGAGATTGAATAAATAAAATAAAATAAAGATGTAGGCGACATACGTGCATCCTGGCCAAACGCCTATCCTCCACCATGCCAGTCTCGATTTCGTCGACCTCACTTATAGTTTCGTAATCACCACGAGGTCGTTTCCGAGTGTCTGACTTAGAGCCGAATGAATGGCGGATGTCTTCACGCAGGCGGTTGTACTGGTGTCGTCCATGGGCTGTATTTGAACCTCGAGGCGTAGCAGGCAAAAAAGGAGATGATGGTGGGATATCGTCATAATCGGCTGGGAGGTTATTGTAGTCAGTGAGATCATCATAGTCCATGTGCCTAGTGACAACTTGATTGGAGCGCAAAGCCCCAGCAGTAGAGCGCAAAGCCCCAGCAGTGGAGCGCAAAGCCCCAGCAGTGGAGCGCGAAGCCCCTTGGTTTGAGCGCGAAGCCCCTTGATTTGAGCGCGAAGCCCCTTGGTTTGAGCGCGAAGCCCCAGAGTTGGGGGGGCGCGTAGCCCTTGGAGCTCCAAGATTAGAGCGCGGAGCCCTCGAGTTGGCGCGTGGAGTTGTAACATGTGTACGCGAAACCTGCTGGTGTGAGTGCAAAGCTCTTGAATTGGACCGTGAATTTCCCAAGTTAGGATGCGAAGCCTCTGGGAACGAGTGCTCTGCACTTGCATCTGAGGTCGGATACTCTTCACGAATCGTCTTGCCTAGTTGCTTGCGAGTAACGTGGGGAGGGAGGTCCTTGATAAATTTCTCTGAATCTTTGAGACGACGTAAGATGACACCATCTGTATCAATGACGAGAGGGATTGTGTACACCTCGCCAGTGTACGAGGTGAGGTCTTGCATCTGAACTGTAGTGTAAAGATATTAATTGTTGTGCGGTTCCGAATACTGGAAAACGCACGAGGACTCCAATCCTGGATAGACAAGAGAACATCAGGCACCTCCACAACCGCGCCCTTTGTTCATCGATGCTCATCAGACTTCTTGGACTTGCCTTTCCGCTTGGCCATCTTCGCTTTCTCTGCATCGCTGTCATCCTCATCCTCATCTCGGCCCAACTCAGCCTCATACGTATCACCAAGATGGATCCTCAGATACGGACCCACAAGGGCACGCAACTGACTTGCGGACAGCGATTTGAGGTCGAAATCAGGGCCAGGGGGCGGAACTCCTGCGGGCCAGTCATGAATACATAACCTTGTCGAGTATAGGACGTCAAGCATTGTCATCCATCGACTATTCGAAGTCTTTAATGCATGACCAGCATCAGCTACCAAAAAAAATGTGAGCACAGCGGCAGTAGGATCAGGTGAGAGATACAAACCGAATGCTTCGCTGATAACCACAGGTGCAACCATGCGATTTCTATCCCTGTCAGATTTACCGTTGCGTAGAAGCGAGGCGTTGGAGGCTGGGGCAGGCGGCGGAAGAAATTTAATATTCTTGCCTGCTGCTTGCGCAGCTTCTAAGTCCTTGTACCTGTAATATACCCCAAGTATGTCAGGATGATGTAGCCTTTGAGTAAAAACAAAACCCACTTGAGGATTGTCGTGATCTCATCTATCATATGCTTGGCATCTACCCGTTGAGCATCAATGAGGGCCTTTACAATATCTGACCCCGCAAAAAAACCGGAGGCCTGGCGGCCAGATTCCTCATCACCTGGATAAATAACAATACCAGCGACATGAATTCCATATGTGTGGTGCCAGTACAAAGCCTTGAGAAGGTCGCGTTACCAATGAACATTAATCACCGAAATAGCACTCACCGATTTTGCAAACATCTCACGAACTGCCATCATAAGACTGCATGATTCGCGAGAGGATAGACCGTCAGGAGTGGCAATCGCATGATCAAAATGCTCTCGGATCTGCTTCCATAGAGCCGCGTTCTTAGGGTCCTTGTATGAGTGGGCGTGATAATGCTCAGCTTGCTTGGCTTTCCATGCCTGCAAGCTCGCTGAAAGGGTATGAATATAGATACGAACATTCAACGCAATAACATACCTGCTTTGGACAGGTGCAGCACAGTTTTAAACCAGGCTTGATGCTGGTTCCAAATGGACTCCTTGCGAGTTGCTTTCCTCGCTAATCCTGCCTCCGTCAGAATGACCTGCCGATGTTTCCCAAACCGTTCGCCAATTTCGGTCGCTTCCGCCTGGACCCTCTTCCCAAAATCATGCACTGCCAAAATGGCTTCCTTAGATAGTCTGCCTGCTTTATGTGTGGTCTCGTCGCCTTCTTCAAGCCTGTCTTCTTCGTCGCAGCCCTCGGAATCATCATCATGGTCGGGTGCCTCTGCCACTGCTTGTCCCTTCTGCTGTCCCTCTGCAGACAGTCTGGGGGACTCTGCACGGGATTCTGCCTTCTTGCGTCGCTCTTCTGTTTCAGCCCAATCGCTATCAGAACCAGAGCTCTCTGTGGATTTCCCCTCGTGGGAAGGAAAGTATGACTTTTGAGCACCGGATCTGCGCGGGCGAATGACTATGGATGTTACAAAACATATGAGCTGTGTACTGCATAATGTATAATGAAACCTACCTGCGGTTTTCTCCCTTTCGTTTGTTTGAATCACGCTGTCACCGTTGGATGGAGCTTTTATAAATCATGTTAGTTTATGTACCACGATTTGGATGACGAAACTTACATGCGTTCATGACCCTTTCATTCACCGCTGCATTACCATCGCGTTCATTCGAGGACGGAACTGTAGTCAGACATGTTTAGTCATTTCACAACAAAATATGACACGAAACCTACCTGCAGAATTGACCCGGTTGTTCGTTGCTATGGTACTGCTGTGCTCACCGTCGGACTGAGCTATAATAAATATATCAGCAGTGTACCATGACAAGTTTAAAGAAAAATCACCCCCAGTCTCATCTGGTTCATTTGTCGCTCCAGGATTGCCAATTTCACTGTCGGACAGAGCTGTAATGGAATATGTTGATGTTGTACCATAAAATATATAACAAGACTTACCGGTTGTTGTCTCCCTTTCATTCGTCGCTGCAGGACCATTACATTCACCATTGGATAGAACTGCAATATAACATGTTAACGTTGAAAACTATTCTGCAGATGGAAGAACAATACCTGTACCCTGTGTCACTCTCATTGTCGAGAACAGCACCGTCGTGCTTGACACTAGCTGAGGGACAAGAGTTATTTAAAGTTTAAAACGAAAAAAGAAAACACACCTAGCGGTGTATCATTATCTGTACCATCTGCGGAATGATGAGCAGTAGTCAGAAGGTGGAACTCGGTAAGAATCAGCGAACTTACTGTCAGGTAACTGTGCCTCGGGATCCTCACTCGCGCCATTGGACTTGTTCCTGACGAATGAGCGCCTGGCGAAATTGGAAAAGAAAATTTCTTCCTCAGCAGATGATGTCATAGGGTCAGTATGTGCGGACCTTGCCAGGGCACGAGGCTTAGGGCGAGGGCGAGGTATCTAACATCGAGTCAGTAGATAGCAAAATGACACCTATAGCCTTACATTGGCGTTGGCCGACTTTGGACCAGGGCGTGAACGTGCTTGGTTGCCATCATTGTCGGCTCGAAGTGGCGCTTTTGGCTGACGCCCAGAGCGGGTAGTAAGAGGCATATTAGAGACTGTTCCTCGTGGTCACGAAGACACGAAGAAGATACGTTGAAAGAAACACGAAGTTTCTCGACAATTTTATTTCACCGACACGAAGTCAGGTGAGAATACGCGAAAGAAGAGTTCAGAAATGTAAGAGCAAATGTAAAACTAGAAATTGAGAGGATACCTAGGGATCAGATAGCATTATATATACAATGACAAGACCCGAAGGCGGTTAGTGTGATGAAACGCTATGGAAGGATTCTATTCGCTTGACACTGGTTGTCCAAATAATCATGATTAATCATGAAGAAATAAAGTTACAATATAAAACACCTGACAGCCGGACCAAGTTGGCGCCACCGATCGCTCAGGGGACATGTTAAGTAAGTACCGAAATGGAACCAAATTAATGGTAATGACAGGGCAGAGAACACGGAGATTGTTGAGAAAATCTGTGTGATAGCTATGAACACCAGACTCTACTCTAGAACGTGCACTAGACCGACCTTTTTGATACAATCACGTTGTAAGCTAATAGTTCCAAAAGGGAAGACGGTAAAAAAGCCTGTTATAGATCTGCATTAATAGCTATGAGTACGAGTGCATACTGTAGAATGTGCGGTAGACTGACCATTCTGATACAATTACGCTCCAAGTTAAAAGTTCTTGAAGAGAAGACGATGTAAGCCACATGAGGGATTGCCATCAGCGGTGATTTGTGCTTGAAGCCTGCTATACAAGTTTGCATTCATGGATCGAATGGACGCATTGAGGGATAGAGAACCAGACTTACCGATAAAAACGAAAATTTAATGTTGCAGGGAAGGAAGTAGAGTGCCCCAAGACCACCGGGTCACGAAGCTGCGAATACGGAGAAGACATGAAGGAAATCAGAAAGCAGTGGAGGAATAGAAATATGTGTGCACTTAACTGAGAGTGCTCGATGTTAAGTTCCAAGCACGATCGAGCGGATAGAACATATAGGGCACTCCCGAGGAAGATCTTCAACCCTAATGGTGCAACAACGGGTGAGCAGCCAGGGCGATCCTCCAGACACGCAGTCTAGGAGTGTTGGACCAGCGACGCGTAGTCAACTGATCGCTGGACGCGAACGGCACGAAGCCAGTTCAAAAAAATATGGAGCCAGGGAGTCCAGTGCGGTGGTCGGGGCGAAGGATAACGGTAGTAGGGTGATGGATGGGGACGATTGAGACGACGAAGGACAATTGAGACGATGGATTGAGTAAGTGGAAAGACTCGGATATGGGACTTTCCCACAATTGAACTTGCCGCTCATGTTTAGTCGGAACTTCATTTGGGATTTTCCCACTTGGTGATATTCTCTTTTGCTACTAACTACTCTCGCTGTTCCTCTATCTTCATTCTCATCGCTGTGTCTCTCGTCCCCCCAGGTTCCCTCGACTACGACTTCTACCCATCTGAACTGGCTTCGTGCCGTTCACATCAAGTGATCAGTTGACTACGCGTCGCTGGTCCAACACTCCTAGACTGCATGTCTGGAGGATCGCCCTGGTCGCTCACCTGTTGCTGCACCAGTAGGGTTGAAGATCTTCCTCGGGAGTGCTTTGCGTCTGGAATCTATCTGCACCCCTCGTCTTTTCTTTGACATTTACATCGAGCGTCTCACAGCTGGTGAGGTATATACTTGTCTTTCATTAACTTTTACTGATTTCCTCTCACATCCTTATCCTGGCGTTATTGCTCTCTTGGTGGTCAGCGACTCTAACTCCCACGATTATACTCCGCATCCAGATACACGGTATGTCTACTTTTTCACTTGTTCGTTGCGTTGCGCGCTTAAGATTTCTAGCACACATCATGCCCAATGCCCTGACATTGTTCAAAGCGAATACCGTTATCTCAGACGGTATGTGTTTCTCTGTCTGCCTTTCATGTGCTGACGCCAAAGTTTCCAACAGCTTGGTTACAAGCTTTCGACGCTCGCACCGTTGCCGTGCAGGGCAATCTGGTTATCACGACTCCCAATATGCATTTCGTGCCGGAATTCCATCACTTCGAGCCAGAAATTTTACAAGCCCGTGCAGATGGTCGCTTTGGCGTGATCGACTGCTTCCAATGGCCTCAGGCTTACGACGATACCTTTTGCCATGCCGCTTGCATACCTCGAAAGGAGGCATTTCCATATCCTCACCCGCTTCATTGGGCTTGGTTCACCCCTACCCGGGATGACCTTCAGCCCATTCCCGGGAATTCGTTTCCTGTGGGCACACTGGCATCAGATAAAGTCGACGGCTTGCAATCCCTCTTCAAACTGGCGGAACAACGACTCCGCGATTATCGAAAGGTTCATCCAGACAGAGGCCAAGTCATATACGGCCGCCTGATGTCCCTCCGACACGCTGTCGCACGCTTAAAGTCCCACCCCCTCACTTTCCGTGATCTTCTCATTTTCGTCACCGATGCTCAGCGTCTCTTTCTCGATATATACTCTTACCTCGACTGGGGACTTGAAGCTCAACCTCTCACAACTTCAGGCTTTCGTCATAATGTTCGGGGCGAATGGATGGGTGCTTTCGTGCAGAGTAGCGACGTCTGCGAGAAATTATTCTGCGCCGGCGTCCCCGTTTGGTATGTTCGTTCAAGCGCGTACATTCCCCCGAGCATGACGATTGTCGAACCTGTCTTACTTACCCGTCCTGATCACATAATAATTGGCATGTACGCGGAGGGCAGGAAAGTTCGCCCATTCGAAGTCATACACCGTGGTCCCGGTGGTCGTGATCGCCATGTGCACATTCGCCGCCTATACGCAGGCACAACACATCTAGACCCCGAGGCAGCCATCCCTCAACCATCGTCCAGCTCGAATCCCGGTCCTAAAGTATCTAGTCTTGGCAAGGCGCCATCTCGACAGAAGAGTAAGCCAAAACACCAACCATGTAAGCGCCTCTTTCTTTTGTGCACGTTGGATACTCATCATTTTAGACTCCATTGAAGCTCGCCCTGCACGTCCTGCTCAGTCAGGCGAATCCAGGAACAAGTGGCAAGACCCTGACACTCCTTACCTTCCGCCGCCGAACCTCCATTGGGAAGCTGCGATGAAAATTGCAATCAAGGACCAGTCTCGCATTCACACGCCCTACGTTATTGATCGGGGGTATAGATTCCCTGAGCCTGCTCTTCTTATCGGCCCCAAACTGGCTGAACGTCTGCAAGTATACCTTGCCAATTGGCTTGCATGTCGTGCGCTGTGGGTAGGCCGAGTCGACCACGATCCTCCACGCACTTATCCCACTCCTCAACTATGGCGCGACTTCCTTGGTAGTGTGCCTTCTGCCAACCCACAATCTCATAGGGAGAAAGATCCTGACAGAAGGGGTCTTACAGCTACCGAGAAGCGGAAGCAGGTGATGCGGGAGTTGTTCGGCGATGATGTGCTAGAATCTCAGGGCGATGTATTTTCCCCAGATGGAGTTGTGGAATTTCGGGGTGAACAATTTTCTGTCGCCAGTCTTACTAATCCTTCCGCACTTCTAGCTCAGAAGGTCACATGGGAGCTGTTTGAACTCGGCTTTCGATACGAGTTGAGGGATCTTGACCGTCACTTGGCACGGAGAGAATGGAAAGATGATCCAGCTGGTCGCGAGCAACTCCTCCATGGCATCTTCCCGGGCGACGCTGGTCTAGTGATGTGGTCAGAGCCGTTTCCGTCGGAACACTACGGGTTGTGGGATAACACCCTGCAGGGCTGTCTTCCTTACGTGGAGAATTTTCGCCTACTGCTTTGCGATTGGGATGGCGTGCCGCCTCTTCTTACGACCCCGCTGACATCAGACAACTTCACAGATACAAAATCTTGGGAAGTCAAGCGTGTGGCGACGGCATTTTATGTGCAGACATTTTTTGATCATTTCGGCAGGCCCCCAATCATACCCCATTCGCTTCCCATGCAATCATGATTCCATATAGTTGTCCTGACGTATTTTCTGTTGTCCGTTCTCGTTACCTTACAATCAAATCCATGCTGTTGTGTTCCTTCGTGCTCCATTATCCGGTTTTGTATGGTTACCATCAGCGGACTATGATCTTACTCCGGCATTACGATCTGTAACATTTATTTTCCTCTTTGGATTTACGAGCTTTGGCTTTACGAGATCAAGATACCTACTCACTGCGTACATGTTTCAGACATTGAGCAAGAGACTCATCACGATGATGGGGCGGTGAGTTCACTTTGCGTTCTTCACATTACTCTGACAGCAAGGCTCACCCTTTCTTCTGGAACAACATAGTATAACCACGTGAGGATCCGAGTAACAACACATTTGGACTCACCAACACACTTACCACAATTTATCCGCATTCAAATCAGACTCGATCTGCTTTCAAGATCTTCGAGTTGGCCCTATCGTTAAGCGCCATTGAACGATCCCGAAGTATTTTGGTGTAGTCTGGAATAAATTGAATTAAGCTTCGTGATTTCTCAGCCCAATGTGATTATTTTGATTTTTCACTAGTGATCCTACTTCGTCCATCAACGTCCGCCACCATCGGTCACTACAATCAAACTTCCCCAGACTGCGCCTCCGTGGGCTGAGTTCCCTAGTTGACTTCGTGTCACTGTTTCCTCCCTTGTTGACTTCGTGTCACTGTTTCCTGCCTTGTTGACTTCGAGTCTTAAGGTATTACGCTATGGCAGTCCGCCGTCCAAAACCTCGACGTCATAAGGCAACAACCCACCATTCTTCACCACCGTCGATACATCAGCCGACTGCTATCATTTGCGAACCTTGGATGGTCAATAGATGGAAACGTCCCCGCGAGACAAAAAAACTCGACCTCTATCTTCCTGGCCCACCACCCATCTTAGTTCTGCCAGGACGACAACGTCTAGCACAGCAAAGGCCGCGTCGTTCATCACCCATACGTAGGACGGAACCCGGACAGAGGGATGATGGACCTGTGTTTCCCTTCAGCGACTCAATACATTTTTCTATTGACGCTTCTCCCCGTCGTCTCACCAGCTCCCAAAAAAG